AGCGGGCTCCGGCGCTCGCTCCCATTGGCCGCCGCCGCGTCAGCTGGTGCGATTTGCTGCTGTCGCTTTTGGCGTTCGGCCATCCAGAAACAAACCAGTTCGATGACTACTAATAGTTATAGCCAGATGTACTAATACACAACAAATCACAGTCCTGCAGAGGGGCGCGCAAATGAGTTCCTATTTTGTGAATCCCACTTTCCCCGGGAGCCTGCCCAGCGGCCAGGACTCCTTCTTGGGCCAGCTGCCCCTCTACCCGGCCGGCTATGACGCGCTGAGGCCCTTCCCGGCCTCGTACGGGGCGTCGAGCCTCCCGGACAAGACGTACACCTCACCTTGTTTCTACCAACAGTCCAACTCGGTCCTGGCCTGCAACCGGGCGTCCTACGAGTACGGGGCCTCGTGTTTCTATTCTGATAAGGACCTCAGTGGCGCCTCGCCCTCGGGCAGTGGCAAGCAGAGGGGCCCCGGGGACTACCTGCACTTTTCTCCCGAGCAGCAGTACAAATCCGACAGCAGCAGCGTGCCGGGCAAAGCCCTCCATGACGAAGGCACCGACCGGAAGTACACGAGTCCTGTTTACCCCTGGATGCAGCGGATGAACTCCTGTGCGGGTAAGACATTTCCCTGCAGCACCCTCCCCTCTAGAGAGTGGAGGGAGAGGGGGAAGGAGGCAGGGAAGGAAGGAAGGAAGGAAGGAAGGAAGGAAGGAAGGAAGGAAGGAAGGAAGGAAGATAGAAAGACAGGAGAAAAGAATGAACAAAGTTTCTTTAGCTTTAAAAAAGAGAGATTAAAAAAAATACCAACCCATTCCCAACGGAGCAATCAAGCTGAGGCAGAGTGAAGGCAGGGCACTAGTGTCCATGTAAGGTGACACCTTAGAGGAGTGTGTGTGTGTGTGGGGGGGGGGGGTCATTGCCATGCTATGTGAGCCCCAAGACAGGGGCAAACTAAAGAGAGAGCCAGGCCGGATGGGAGGGAGATCCTACCTACACTGCACCCAGGTAGCACCCTGCTCAGATTCCCAAACCCAGATGGCCTTCTGCACCCCTCACTGCTGATTCCCCTTCACCTGCCAACCCCCTCCCCTTTCTGCCCTTCATACACTCATGTAGAAAGAGGCCCTTATTTAGCCTCTTCCAGGGTTACCCCAAAGCCTTGGAGGGCCACATCCCCAGTTGCAGTATTTCTTCTCTCTCCTCCCTCCCCTCCTCCCACTTCTACTCAACTGCTCACTTATAGCCAACTTCTGCCTCCTTCTAAGACCCTGCCCGCATCCCAGTCACCAGCCTGGAGGGAGCCCCCACCCACGGGCCCCTTTGGCACCAGAACAAATAGCCCATCACAGTCCTACATTTCCAGGAACCCCAGTTGGCCCATTGCTCCCCAGAACTCCACAGGGAATCCTCGGAGCAGGACAGTGCCTAATTCGAATTTGAAAACTTACAGTGTTTTGCTTTAACATCCACGGTTTTGTTTTTCAAGGAAGCTTTGCATTTCTCAGATGGGGCCATACAATTTGGGGGAATTTGCAAAGATCTGAGAAGGCTGACCATTCTTAATTTCCCAAAAAGCACATTGAGTGCTTCTCCAGCCGTCCTGGGATGCCAGGCCACAGTCACATCTCCACAGACATCCATATGTGGATGCAGGGTGCCTACCCTACTCATAGGGTTCCACACCCCCACTCCCAGACATACACACACTGCATTCCCACAAAACATGACTTAGGTACCCCAAATTAAGAACGCCCATTATATTCTTTTGCTTGTAATTTTGTTTTGTACTGAGCAGGTTTTTAAAAAACAGTAACGTCCCACCCCAAGTCATTTTAGGTGGAAAACATCTCGCTTGGTATGAAATAATCTTCTCCCATCAGGAGGCTTTTGGCCCAAGACTGTGGGAGAGGGGAAAGTGCAGGCGGGGTGCTTTCCAGCCCAGAGGCTTGGGGTGCGGGGTTGACTGGTTCAGCTGCCCAGATCCAGGCTCACGGGCGCCTGGTCCTTTCTGCCCGCAGGTGCTGTGTACGGGAGCCACGGGCGCCGAGGCCGCCAGACCTACACGCGCTACCAGACGCTGGAGCTGGAGAAGGAGTTCCACTTCAACCGCTACCTGACCCGGCGCCGCCGCATCGAGATCGCCAACGCGCTCTGCCTCACCGAGCGCCAGATCAAGATCTGGTTCCAGAACCGCCGCATGAAGTGGAAGAAGGAAAATAAGCTCATCAATTCCACACAGCCCAGCGGGGAGGAAGCTGAGGCAAAAGCGGGCGAGTAGGCGCCTGGGCAGGGACCAGGCCAGCGGCGCAACCTCCCTCGGCTTTGCTCCCTTGCCTTCGCCTGCTCCCCAATCTTTCTCCCTGCCGGCTACCATCTGGGGGGCTTACGCAGCTTCAGGGGAGCCCGGAGCTTTGCAAACGCCTGAGCATTTATTTCTTACAAAAAAAAAAAAGCAGCAACATAAAAAAAACCAACAACAATAACACACACACACACACACAAGCCAATCCCAGCGGTGGAGCGGGGCGCACTGCACACACAATCCGCTCTCCAAGGCTGCCCAAGCCGCTCCGGATCCCAGCGCGCGCCCCAAATCCGTCCCTGAGTCTTATGTAGCGCCTCTGCACGCCTCTGGCACGGGACTCGGGGTTGCTGGAGAGGAAAGAACCCCGGAACCCACCCTCTTTGGGTGTCTGGGCATTTTGGCCCCGGTCCCTCGCCACCAAGTCCCGGAGGGCACCACCAAATCGACTCTGGCCACTGCAAAGAGGGGACCTAAAGGTTGGGGCCCCAGCACTGCGGTGGCCTCCCAGGCTGCCCCCAGACAGGAAGGAGCTCCAGGAACAAAGGCTCCCCTCCCCCCGGAGAGTCTAGCCTCTCTGCCCCGCACAACCGTCCGTGGAAGAGAAGGAGCCTCAGCCGAGCCCAGTCAACCTGAGCGCGGGTGGAACTGCACAGCCCGGGACCCGCTGGGCTCCCGAAGGCTCGGGACTCGGGAATCCAGCTCCTCGCCTCCGACAGTGCCAACAGCGCTTTCGGGACCCGAGGAGGGGGCCCGGAGCCATGGGAGCGGCAAGAATCATGGTTTCTAGCCTGCCAGGGGCATCTGCGACGCAGGGCCTCCAGCGGGGAAAACCTCCCCTGCCTTTCAGCTGCATTTGTGGTTTACTTTCATCTTTCAGAACCCAGGAAAATAACTACGGGGATGCGAGGCACTGTCTGGAAATGCTTCCTTTAGCGCCCTCAGTTCACTCCTGGAGGTCTAAGCAAAACCCTAATAACGCGGCCCAGAAATCGCCAGCCCCCAAGCAGCTTCTGTAGCTGCGGGGAGCCTCGGCCCGCTCGCTGGGTTCACCTAGAACCCCTCCGACTTGGGGCCCGCCTGGCTCCAGGAAAAAGACCTAGTGGTGAAGATTCTCCAGGCTGGATCCTTAAACAAAGCAAACAGCAAGCTAATGACACGAAAAGCCAAATTTACATGAAAGGAAAATCGAATCTGGTTATAGAAGTGTGTGGAATGTGACCTCGCCTCGGAGAAACACTACACAAAAGCTATCTTTAATAGACGCCTGTCATTTAAGAGCGGCGGGGACACTGTCCCTCCTGCGCTCGCCAAAAACAGAGCCGTAATTGTAGCGACTGCCCAGGGCAGGATTTATTTCTCCAATTGGCTAAATGGCTTCCCCCCATTCCCCTGAAGGTGATATCTGTATTTTCAAATTTCAGAGCTGCCGGCGTGACGGGCAGAACCGACCCCAACCTCGACATAAAAATAAGAGGGGCTGCACAGCGGGGAAATAAAGTTGTTGTAAATAAAATCCAAGTCACCATCTCCCCCCAGTCCTCTGCATCCTCGCCGGGCACGCGATCGGCAGCTGACGGCCTCACAATTGGTACATCCTAATGGAACTGCGAGGGAAATGCAATAATTTTGCCATAATGGGCTGTAACCTCAATTCGACCCCGGCCCTTGCAGCCCCGGGTCGGAAGCGGAGCGATGAGCCCTGCCTCCAGCGGGTGGCGCTCGAG